CATCATCATCATCATCATCATCATCATCATCATCATCATCATCATTATCATCATTATCATCATCATCGTCGTCATCAGCTCTAAAATGAAGGTTATCGGTGCTGTCAGCAACTCGAAATGGGGCTGGGGTAAGGAGTCGCTCAAGAAAATATATCAGATGTTTGTGAAAAGCAAGTTGGATTATGCTGCCCCAGCGTGGCAGCCTTGGCTGAGTGAGACTAGTGCTAAGGCCCTGGACAGAATACAAAACAAAGCCCTCCACTTGTATCAGGTCAGCTCAAAACAACACCAACAGAAGCGCTGCGCTATGAGACCAGAACTGAGCACTACACCACCTATACAAAAAGAACATGTCTCAAGTCTATAGAGATGGCTAAGAGATTACCAGACAACCATCCAAGAAAGAAAGCCCTTGATCAAGCAGTCAAGCCTACAAGCGGCAGGAAAAGTTAGTTTTGGATGGGCACCGATCTAGCAGACCACCTCCCCCCTGAAGCAGAGAATCGATGGCCGATCAATCTAGTGAGAGCTTGTCCATGGGAGACCCATGGTGAAATCGAAATTCGGACAGAACTGAGAGGAGTAAAATGAAAAGATGATGATCCTGTAAAGGCACATGAAGCAGCTGATGATGTGATCAAAGAGGTTGGTGCGGATGTGACAATTTTCACCGATGGATCGGCAGTCGCAGGATACCGCGAAGGTGGAGCAATAGCAGTGGTGATAATAAATGATGAACTACCACAAACAAAAATTATTAAAACTAAAGGTGCATTCCTTATATCATCTTATGACGAGGAATGCCAGGCAATGATGTCTGCTGCACAATGGATTGCAGACAATTGCCACAGTAGGACCAATGTGCTGATATTGACTGACTCTGCAAGGGGCTGCCTGGCAACAGCTCGGACATGAATGATTTGCACCGCAAGTTCAGTGAAGCCAGAGGCACAATAAAAATCCAGTGGATTCCAAGCCATGTTGGAATAGAAGGAAATGAGGCAGCAGACAAAGCTGCTAATGAAGCCAGAGAGATCGAAAGAGACAGACGACCAACGACATACAGAGGTGTCTTTCCAATGATCAAGAGGGAAATCAGAGAACCACCATGTAGAACTAAGTACCAGCACCTGGAAGATATGTATTCTGGGTGCCAGCGGGTGACGGATCGCAAGGATGTAGGCTAGTACTAGTATGTAGATCTAGAGCACTGACTGGTTTATAATTAGAAAAGGGAGAAGGGGGGAGGGGTGGGTGAAGGAAGGCCAGGGTTAGGTGGAGCGCTTGCACCAATGGCACCAATGGCGCCCCGCCACTGGTATTGATAAGTATCGAGAATTGCAAACATAGCAACCGCTGCAACAACAGCCGTAAGAACGGCTGAAACAGAAATTCCAACTGCAACAGCAGCAACGGCAACATCTTCATTATCCTATCAGCAGCAGCAGCAGCAGCAGCAGCAGCAGTAGTAACAACAACAACAACCACAATAACAGCAACAACAACAACACAATAACACAACAACAAACAACAAAAACGACAACAATAACAACAATATCAACAACAACAACAACAACAACAATATCAACAACAACAACAACAACAACAACAACAACAACAACAGCAACAAAAACAAGTACAACCGCATCGGAAACGGTTATGTCAGTGAGTGTTACTATCTGTCAAAAAAAATAAAAATAAGGGGCTCAGTTACCGAAGTAATAATGACAAAGTTACCAGTTAATTTCCGGAACATTGGTGATAAGTACTCATGAACTATTAACAGCAATCTAACAAACAAAGACTCGGTGGACCTTGTTCAAACATTACAACAATAGCAACAACGAAAGTAATAACTAACGGGACAAAGACATAAAAAAAACATAGAGAGCTATAACAAAAGATAGGTGAGCTAGATTAATGTACGTTGTACTACTTGTTATTGTCGCGAGATTTGTAATTATTTTGTGTTTTGATACAACTTATGTCATCATGTTGATTTTGTAACACACTGTTTTCTACTTGTAAAGGCATAAACGATATTTTGCAATTCTGCTAGCATTGTCATACCTGCTTTAGCAAAGAAAACAAGTTACACAAAGCAGCAACAGCTTACATAATAACAACAGCAACAACAATAACAACATCAAGCACAGCAACAACAATACCACCAACAGCAACAACAACAACAGCGACAACGACAACAGCCACGACAACAACAACAACAACAACAACAGCAACAACAACCACGATAATAACAGCAGCAACGACCAGGACAACAGAAACAGTAAAAACAAACACAAAATCGATAGCAGCAACAACAATAACAACAACAGCAAAAACAACAACAACAACAACAACAACAACAACAACAACAACAACAACAACAACAGTAGCGTCTCTAATCCCATGGGCTCTGCCGATAACAATAATGCCAAACCTGTCTGAAAATTCTTTCGTCGGATAATTTATAGCAACGAAAGTTACTGTTGTAAGAAAA